GAGGAGTGGCCAGAGGAGTGGAAACATTGTAATATATCCTCAGGAAAGACGTGAGACTTGATTGAAAAATGCCTTGTGCTGCAGTTTTAGTTCTTCATTAGATTAAACCGGATTCATAACTAAAACCACATGGTCTGCTTTATGAGTAAATTTTTTATATTGCATTGTTGGAAAAGCTGTCACTTCCTCTTTTTTTTTTTCCTTGCATCCCCACGTAGGTCATAGTCATGAAATTGAAGTTACACACACTTTAACCAGTTCCATACATCTGGCCACACAGGCAGAAAGCTGCCATGCAGATGTATGATGCTGTGTTAATTAAGCTTAAAAATTAGACTGGGGCAAGTCTTCCTTGTTTTACATTAATTGCATGTACCGAAGTCAATTTTAAAAATTAGCTGTGGTTTGATCAGAATAGTTGTTTCATTTTCATGTTGTGCTTGACAGTTTTTAAGATATGAGCAAGACAGTCACTCAAGCCAGTGTTCAGTGTTTGGCAAGATTCCCCAAAAGAAAGGAGGAATGTGTGAAAAACTAGGGCCTTTAAAACAAACAGCAAAACCACCTCCCTCCTTTACTGTACCAATCATACACATTGAAGTCAGAGTTCTTTTCAATGTCCCTGGGTATGATTTTGTCCAAGTTCTTTAAAAATATTGAGTCATTCCATTTTGGTGTACATTTGTGTATACAAATGCTTATATAGCATTATACATTGAATTAAAGAGCATTTGTTTTGTTGCTGCCTTAAGTGTGTGGCAGTCTTCCCTTAGAAATGAAATTTGTTTCCAGGTTTTTGGGATCTGGCATGCAGGAGGCCTTCTTCTCCACACCTGAAGCCAGCTGTCAAATCCACCTAACTTCCTTGAAGGAATGTCCCTTATGTTTCAAACTGTAATTCACTACAGTCATGCTCACTATAAAAAAGAAAAAGAAAAAGGTCACACTTGATCCATCAGGCTGGGTAGAATCTGAAAAAGTAATTTCATGTGGGACTCTGAGAGTGAAAGAATCTTGCCTTTGGCAGAAATGAAGATGGAATGGAAGAGAGATAAAGAATTTGGCTTCTATCTAGAGTAGACCAGCACAGTTTCTGATGAGAACTTGCCCAGGCACTGGGATAGGGCATATCGTTGCCCACTTTTCCTGCCTGGGAGTAAAAGTGAAATAGAGCGGGTGTGCTGAGAATCAGGAAATGGTTTTTTATTCATCTTCTATTTTGTTTGGGGATGAAAACTAAAGCACCCCGAATATCTCAGCCTCAAGTGGCTGGTTCTTTGCCCACGTTTATTATAGTTGGACACTTTGAGTGCTTTGATTCCAGTTAACTTTGTTTAGCAAATGCAAACAAGAATCCTAATCTTATTTCAAAAAAACCACACAGGCATGAGATCTTGGCACATTCAGCTCCTGGGTTTTCAGAAGCCTCTTGTTTTTTTGTCTTTGCAGGATGTGTGAGACCGGCGAGGGGCTGTTTATCTTTCAAACGCGAGATGGAGAGGCCATCTATCAGAAAGTCCACTCTGCTGCCCTGGCCATTGCGGAACAGCACGAGCGCTTGCTACAAAGTGTGAAAAATTCAATGGTATGTTTGGAATTTTTCCCTTTTAGCCCAATGTATACCACTATAGAATGCAATCTTGGAATTTCTGTGTTGAACTATATGACCAGCATTGGATGAGCAGATGGCTTCCATCTGCAGCTCAACAGTGTATTGCATGGATTAAATTCCATCTTTGGAATTCCTGAAGTGGTGAGTTGTTTAAAAATAAAAAAAAATCTGTTCCTTATCATTCATTTATTCATTTATCCATCTACTTTGTGACTAAATTATTGTATATATATATTTATATTAAAATAAGTTTGGGTGTGTATGCCATCTAAAGACATTATTGGGTTATCTCCAGTTGGACATTTATTCATAGCTGTATCAGAAGTTATTATTCCATATGCCATCAGAGGCTGGAGAGAAAAGAAAAACCA